CATCGATAAGAATGGAGACTATTTCATTTAATAAATGCTTTGTTTTGATATATAAGTTTTTCGGGGTTTTTTCAATCTAAAAAAAAAGCGACATTGATTTCTTGACGACCTACTATTTCTTAGTAAGATTTTCGTGTTGGTGGAGAACAACCTGTTTGTTAGTTATTCTTGTTGACTGGGAACTAACTGTTTGTAAATTAGTTATTCGTATTGATGGATAAGTAATCATAAATTAGTTATTATTCTTGCTGGGGAACTAACTGTTTGTAAATCAGTTATTCGTGTTAATAGTGAACAAACTGTTTGTGTGTTAGTTATTATCGTTGATGAGGAATTAACTATACTGGAACGTTTTAATGACCATAAATCAACAATAAGAACAAACAAAGAACTTCCGGTTGTAAAACACTTTAACATGCCTGGACACTCTCTTGAAGACATTAAACTGATGGGTATAGAGACAAATTTTACATCTAATAGAAACAAGGAAATTAAAGCTTATTGGACAGCACTGTTAAATACTGTAACGCCAAATGGTATCAATCTCGATCCCGCGGTTGTTGACCTTCGCAAATCTCTGAAAAGATTTTCAAAACTAAATTCATGATTAAACTTACTTTACATAATTAGTATTATTCGTCCTTAAATTTCTCTCTATATATATATTGGTTTGATTTCCTATATATTAAGCTACATTATTATTTTCTTTATTTCCCACCGCCTTTTTGTCGTTATTTTATTTTTATAGAAATTAGTTAACAATTCTTATAGCTATTATCCCACATAAGTCTTTTTTTAACTTTACACACCTCTTTGGCACAAACAACTCTAGGTTATGATTGACTAGCTCTCAAGGTCAACTCATATTGAACATCCGCTTTACGTGACATCGACATCCGAGCCTATATATTTCATCACACTCATTAAACATAACCCTTTGTTCTCCTGAAGAAGAATAGTCAACTATTCGAAAGCGCTCGAGTTTTGGGTCTCATTTTGAAAATATATTTGCAAGTTAGTTATTATTGTTCATGGGAAAATAACTGTTTGTAAGTTAGTTATTCATGTTGATGAGGAGCTAACTGTTTGTAAGTTAGTTATTATTGTTCATGGGGAACCAAATGTTTGCAAGTTAGTTATTATTGTTCATGGGGAAATAACAGTTTGTAAGTTAGTTATTCGTGTTGATGAGGAACTAACTGTTTGTAAGTTAGTTATTATTGTTGATGAGGAACTAACTGTTTGTAAGTTAGTTATTATTGTTGATGAGAAACTAACTGTTTATAAGTTAGTTATTATTGTTCATGGGGAACCAAATGTTTCCAAGTTAGTTATTATTGTTCATGGGGAACTAACTGTTTGTAAGTTAGTTATTATTGTTGATGAGGAACTAACTGTTTGTAAGTTAGTTATTCTTGTTCATGAGGAACCAAATGTTTTTAAGTTAGTTATTCGTGTTAATGAGGAACTAACTGTTTGTAAGTTAGTTATTATTGTTGATGAGGAACTAACTGTTTGTAAGTTAGTTATTATTGTTCATGGGGAACCAAATGTTTTTAAGTTAGTTATTCGTGTTGATGAGGAACTAACTGTTTGTAAGTTAGTTATTATTGTTCATGGGGAACCAAATGTTTGCAAGTTAGTTATTCTTGTTGACAAGGAAATAACTGTTTGTAAGTTAATTATTCGTGTTGATGAGGAACTAACTGTTTGCAAGTTAGTTATTCTTGTTGACAAGGAAATAACTGTTTGTAAATTAGTTATTATTGTTCATGGGGAACCAAGTGTTTGCAAGTTAGTTATTCGTGTTGACAAGGAAATAACTGTTTGTAAGTTAATTATTCGTGTTGATGAGGAACTAACTGTTTGTAAATTAGTTATTATTGTTGGTGGAGAATTAACTGTTTGTAAGTTAGTTATTCGTGTTGATAAGGAACTAACTGCTTGTAAGCTACTTATTCTTCTTGATTGGGAACTACCTGTTTGTAACCAAGTTATTATTCGTATTGGGGATCTAATTGTTTGTAACTTAGTTATTTTTGTTAATGGGGAACTAAGTGTTTGTAAGTTCGTTATTGTCTTAAATGAGCGTGGAATAGGAATAAAGCTGAACTAGTGGTGAGAAGTAAAAATTATATAGAATGAAAGTCTGACGTTATTTCCTGTTTGGAGTCATTTTTAATTAGATGTTTTTCACTTAACTTTATTTCCTAACCCAAGTTCATTTATAACAATGCTGTAAATAATTTGAAAACTTTTTTTTTTAAATAAATTGTACTCTCTGCTCAATATTTGTATTCTTAGTGTTTTATTTTCTACCTAAAGCGATTATGAATACATTTTAAATAAATCAGATTAAGATATTCATCTAACATTTTTTATTGCAACACAATTGGCAGTTATTGATTCAGTCAAATATATCATCTATAAATAATAAATACAGCGAAAACATTTGTTCAGTTTTGTTTCTCAAAGACACGCTGGAAAAAATATTTTTCGTTTCTCTGTTGTCCTTTTTTTTTAACTTAAGAAAAATACTTGTTTTTCTTCTTCTCGTGTAGTCAGTTTTTGACATTGTTAAAATCAGGGGTTCGATTCCCCTCGGTGTACACAGCAGATGTGGCTTTGCTCTACAGTAAACAACAACCAATCATTTGTTGGAAAATACTTGTTTTTCTTCTTCTCGTGTAGTCAGTTTTTGACATTGCTAAAAATCAGGGGTTCGATTCCCCTCGGTGTACACAGCAGATGTGGCTTTGCTCTACAGTAAACAACAGCCAATCATTTGTTGGCGTGACTCCAAGTCTCATTCTGCATCCCAATCTTATAGTTCTTGGCATACTATGTGTCAAAATGTAAGGAGTGAAAGAAATATTCTGTGCTTCACCATGTTTGCTGTAAGCCTTTGTTATAGTCTAGGTTACTTCACACATGTCCACTGTGATCAAAGAGGGATTCGGATAGTATAGGATTTGCAACACACCAGCACTGTGTCTTAGAGCAAATAAAATATGTTTCAGGTATTTCAGAATCTTTAAGACTTAGAACTTTCGAAATTGAAAGTTTAAATAATAATGATAATTAATCGTTAAACATTAAATGTTAAAATATCGTATTTTATTCGTACATTATAAGTTGCCAGTTACATTCAACATTATTTTGTGAACGCTTTGGTGAATAAGAAATATACACCACAAGGAAGACTTACACGCTAGTTTACAACTTTTCATTAACTTTTACACATTACTATTTAATATTTGTCCAATAGAAAAGTAAAGCAAATTAAAGTTGGACAAAAGTAAGTCAGGGTATGAAAACAAAAAAAAACAGGTAGAATGTTCGCAGCGCCCTCATGTGTTAAATTGTTAAACCAAAACAGTCCACGTGGTTAAGGAAGTCTTAATGCAGAAGTGGACTGGTCAATAAGAATGTTTTATAAATTATCTGGTTCTTCAGATCACAATTTCTAATTAGAGTTGGTCGTAACATAATAATGTGCCTAATATAACACCTGTGATAGTACAAGCCCCTTTTAGTTGTTTTCGTCCGTTTTTGTGGCAGTGTACTGTGCTGTTTCAAATGGGTATAATCTTATGGCTCACTTTGTATGTAAAGTAAATAAACCATGCTACTGTAATACAGTCTGGCATCAATTTGTTATGATTCACTCTGTATGTAACTGCTTTTAAATGCCGTTATTTCACTGCATCTTTACACAGTTCGGTTCTTCACGATGAACTTGCCTCGTACACAAAGTTTTAAACATTAAAAGTGTGTATCGCAAATCAGTTACTAAAAGTTGCAAAACTTATTTCATGATTTGACCGATAGACTTCAGTTGTTGAGTTTTCGACGCTAAATACCAGATTAATATTCGCACCGCCCCTCATCTGTTAACTTGTTAAACCACAAAGTGCATGTGGTTATAGAAACCACTTATTAAATAAGGTATACAGCCGTTAAAGAAAAGACGATGCAGAAGAGAGCTGGCCAACAAGACTGTTTTGTACAGTGCACGTGGGTAAGAATGTGTTACTTGCACTTCTTAATTGTTGGGTTCTCGGCACAACACATCCTTACCCACCTGGGAACCTAACAATTAAGAAGTGCAAGTAACACATCCTTACGTATCGAGAATCCAACAAGTAAGAAGTGCAAGTAACACATCCTTACGTACCGAGAATCCAACAATCAAGAAGTGCAAGTAACACATCCTTACCCACATGCTGGGAACCTAACAATTAAGAAGTGCAAGTAACACATCCTTACGTACCGAGAATCCAACAATTAAGAAGTGCAAGTAACACATCCTTACCCACATGCTGGGAACCTAACAATTAAGAAGTGCAAGTAACACATCCTTACGTACCGAGAACCCAACAATTAAGAAGTACAAGTAACACATCCTTACCCACATGCCGAGAACCCAACAATTAAAAAGTGCAAGTAACACATCCTTACCCAAGTGCCGAGAACCCAACAATTAAGAAGTGCAAGTAACACATCCTTACCCACACTTGCACTTCTTGATTGTTGGGTTCTCGTCACGTGGGTAGCAGTGTGTATTACTTTCACTTGCTTGTTTGGTTCCTGTCACGTGGGTAAGAATGTGTTTTGCGATGAGGAAAGTTCTCGAGCTTCACTCATGTGCACTTTTAAGTCCTTGGCACACACTTTAGAACAGTCTTAAAAGTGTTGAACACTGACTTTTGAAGAAGAGTCCTATTTTACGTCCTTCCTCGCTATTTCATCATCACTGACTTTGTTATGATTTGCTATGCTAGTTTTACTACGGCCTTTACAGTGACACCTCTTCATGTTGTTTGAGGCTTCTGAGTCAGAGATTATTACTTCGCTAGCAGTGTCATCTGGAGAGATGTCACAAAGAAATTTCGAATTTGGAGATAATGACTGATAGCCACTTTCATCTCCTGAAATCCTCTCTTTTTCATCGTTTCTTGGATCGTCTTCATCAATAAATCCAATTGATGCAAAAGGGTCAGTATTCGATGAATCTTCGGCTGATGAAAGACTGATAATACTGTGATGTGGACATACGATGCCTTCTGTACTGTTTGGAAGATAAGATTGGCTATTGACTTTTAAGTTGTTCTCTGTCAACGGTTTAATAATATTGAGCAGTTCTGGTAAATTTGAATTCGATGCACCTTTGTTTGGGGTCTGATTCCACTGCACCATTGTACTCGTTGTGGTACTGCTAGTGCTGTTCAACACGCGGTCTGTTGCAGAAAGACTGTAGGACTGTTTACGTACGGGATTTGAATGGGTATACCAAGAGCTGTTGGGCATAGCAACACCACGGTACCTCTTGAAAGTTCCTGTTTCTAGCAGTTGGATCCAAGCATTTCTTGCTTCTGGGAACTGAAGACATCGAACGAGAAAGATTAGGAAACCCTGTAGAGAATTAGCAATGCAGAAAACATATTGGAAGACTAGTTTGACTTCACCAACTGCCAAGGCTCCAAAGACCCAAGTGATCCCCAAGAGAGTCATGACAGTGAAAGCTCCACGAACCTGGGCAGCGACGATTGCATAAGTACTCCTATCGACCTGAACTCCAGGTGTGGTGTTTGTCCTAGGCGTGAACAGTACTCGAGTGACCATTACGAACACCGTGAGATTGACCAGAAGAATGATGCATGAGGGACCCATGTAGGAAATGTAGTAAGTATAAGGATTGGCTGGAGAAAGCATACAGCTAGAGAAAGATAAGAAATATATATATTCTTTATCGGTAGTTTGGTACCGACTGATCATTATGCTAACTTCTTTTATAATCTAACAAAATAAAAAAGATCACGTTATAAGTTGGCAAGAAAATATATCGATATATGCTAACTTACAAAGTTTCTTCTAACCATATCTATCACAACTAAAGATAAAATAAGAAACTCCCAGAACACATCTACCGAAACTAAACCTACCCTTAAATAAGAATACTAAACAGAGGTTGAGTACATTATATTAAAAACAATTTTGGAGCCTAACCACGTCCTTCCAGTTCATGTCGCCACGACCGGTCGTGTTCTATCTGATTACAATGCATATTAATAATATTCCTGCAGCATAGTTTTCATTGCAAAAGGCTCCATCGTACGCCTGGCATGTCCAAAGAACATCACTCTTCACTAAAGACTTTCCATAATCAATCTAGTGTACGAGGACTACGGTTTTTAAGTGCTCATTTCAACAGTCTGATCACACAGAATTCCATAAGTGCTTTGACGGGCTACCTGACCGGTATGTCTTCATATGGAATGACAGGAATGTGCACTTCATTTTACAGCTGCTTGAAGTGTGAAATGGTTAAATGGATATGTCGTGAAATCAACTTGTGTCACTTTTTCAGACAGAGTTCTATCTTGATTAAGTTGTTTACTGTTGCCTGGGGCACGTGGACGGCTTTTACCACTGACCTCGTGTTCGTGGATTCTCACCTGTTACGAGATGCCAAACTTTGCTTACCACAGCTGATGTATGACTTGTTGTAGGTCTCTTTCTAGATGGTCTTGGTGTCCCAAGTTGATTTTTTATTTGTAGTTAAACACAAAGCTACAAAATCGGCTATCTGTGTTCTGCCCACCTTGGGTATCAAAATCCGGCTTTTAGCATTATAAGCCTTCAGACTTTCTGCTGTGCCACTTCGGTCCCCAAGTTTATCCATATGCTAATGGATATCCACGTCTTAAAATTTCAAAATTCCAGATATTAATACGTGACGTTATATCAGCTGTATTTCTTGCTTATTTGCATATTCTTACTCGTTTGAATGTAACGTACTCAATAACTCCTGAAGTCTTATATTTAACAATTAAATAAATATGATATAAATAACATTTTATCCTCATGAGTGAGACAATGAAGAAATATAAAATATATTGGCAGTGATGTATATCAATAGTTTAAGCTCGTAAAATAACAGTTTGGACTAATACTTACAATTTGTTTTTGTAACCATATTCTTCAAAGCTAATCCCAGCTGCGATACCGACTATTAACAATGGAAGACCTGAAAGAAGATATTTATTAAGAATCTTATACTTGAATGACATCTTTCCACTTTGACTATGGTTTAAAATAAGACTTGTAAACTAAGTCATGCATTTCTGTAAAATTATACCCCATATGGTTTATTTACACACAAGAAAACTTGGTTTGTTATATTCGTTATCGATGCTTTACAGTCAGGAAAGGAATTTGATTATACCATGATGAAGAAAGGGTCAAGGTCGTTTTATTGTTATTATATCATGGTGAAGATCGTTTCGTTGTGATCATGTCATGATGAAGAACATTTCATTGTTCTGATCAAGGTCATTTTATTGTTGTTATATCCTGATGAAGATCGTTTCGTTGTGATCATGTGATGATGAAGAACATTTCATTGTTCTGATCAAGGTCGTTTTATTGTTATTATATCATGGTGAAGATTGTTCCGTTGCAATATCAAACGCCTGTAATATTACTGTAACTTGAGTTCTATTATAAATCAATTCTGTATTTTGTAGGCTTACTAAGATTATTTGTTCCAGTCTGGGTGCAGTCAATTATGGCTGGTGAATCATTACAGCCTACCTCAAAAGAGTAATACGAATTTGTTTTTCATTTTCTGTAATTTCAAATCTTGCCAGAGCGGTACCTTGTTGATAGAGCGGTAAAACAGTTTAGGCTGATTGGATAATAGTCTGTAATGCAAACTGACAGAAGTGAAACTTTACTCAATAACATTCAGTACGTGTAGAGCAGTAAAACTAAAATAGAAGTTTCACTACGTCTAACTATGTGATCTGCTAAGACTAAAACATCAGGATATCCATTGTGGTTTTGAAAGAACGAAGTCAGTATGGATTCGATACTTATGATTAACACGTATCACTTTGGCGGGTTTTGTGGCATGTTTGTTCTTAAGCACAAAGCTTCTCAAAAGGGGGGCAACACATGTGAGAAAAGGGTTAAAACAACTAAGTTGGTCGGAGACTTTTTAATCTGTTAATTAATAATTATCAGTCTATAATGAGATATTCATATATAGTAATAATAGACAAATAATACTGGAAAGAAAACAATGAAATGTATCCTTTAAAAAAAACTTCTTGTGTTAATTACTAACTATGTAAAGTACTTCTTAGTTATTTCAACGTGTTTATTATTATTAATTTTGTTCTGTTTTTTGCTCTATTTAACATCGAGTAACAGCTGATATCTCGACATTTATAACAAACGGCTCAGTTTCATGTTTTCACAACTTTCTTCTAAACGTGTTGTCTTTTCCTTTCTCAATAACAGCTACACAACTGTTCCCGTCACTAGGTGTAGCTGGTGCAGTATTCTTCAGAGAAGAGAGCCACTAGTTGACTGTTACTTACGTTTTAGTGTTCGTGCAAGTGAGTGGAAACTATAAGACCAATTCTTGTCGTACTTTGTGAACAAATAGAGAAGGTATTATTGAGTGACTTCGTAACTATTACTCATGTAGTGGGGGAGAAATCGTGGACGTAGGCCCCGAGAGAAGGGTGGGTTACACTTCGTAACTATTACTTATGTAGTGGGGGTGAAATCGTGGACGTAAGCCCCGAGAGAAGGGTGGGTTACCTCAGAAACTATAAGAGCACTAATTCTAAAATTGTGTAATATTATAACACTAACTGAACACTATTAGCTAAATTATTTTGAGATTGAGTGGTCTGGTTGGGGGGGGGGGGGGATGACTCCCTCACACATACGTAATCAATGGATTATCTAGGAATATCCAGTTTTCTAGTCTTGCAGCACTAATGGACTCGGAGCACTAGTTCTAACATTTTCCAGTCTTGTAGCACTAATGACTTGGAGCACTACAACACTCGTTCTAACATTTTCTAGTCTTGTAGCACCAAAGACTTGGAGCACAAGAACACTACTTCTAATATGTATTATAAAAGTGACAGTCAAGTCACATTATTCGCTCAGACAAGATACTTCAAGAGTTAGAGTTGAGTGTCGAACCTAGCTGCCTTCCCTCTAGTCTATCAGTCCAAAATTAGGGATACTTTTGTAGTCTTACGCGAAAATTCTACTAAAAACATCAACCGAATAAGATACCAAACCGAATCCAAGTAGTCCTTTTCTGAATCATAAGATTCACCATGGGAATCGAACCTCATATGTTAACGTTATAAGCCCTCAAGTTTACCGCTGAGCCACAGATGGACAAGTAAGAAAAGAAGAGAAACGCAACTGTAGACAAGATTTAGTTTATAACGCAAAATGTCGGGGTTCGATCCCTGTAGCTAACCAATCGCATATAATCTATTGTTGGATACACAAGACTGTTTAGTATAAGTGTTATTATTTAGTTTATCTTGTGACATTATAGTTAATGATTATTTAGCTTTCATGACAGAAGTGTTGAAGTTGATTGTTTTAAAAGCGTTAGTTATGACAAGTTTCGTTACGTAGCTCGGTACGAATCGTACATTGTGTGTGTAGTTCAATTGTTGTAGTGTTGTTGACGTCGTCTTTTTTCGTAGCCTTTTAAGTTTTTCTCGCTAAGTGAGTATTGTTACATCATAGCATCTCGTAGTTTATAGAAGGTTCTAGGCTTCAGTACGGCAATGTATATATATATATAGACGACAGTGAGCGCAAGTTAAGTTTAGTCTGAAAAAAGTTAGTTAGTGAAGTTAGCCGACGTGTCAGTGATTAGCCTTAACGGGTGGTTTCTACAATGTGTTTCACAGCTGTATTGTAACATCAGAGATAGGAAAAATAATTTGTCTTCTTAACTGGGTTCTAAAGTAACTGAACTAACCTGTGTAGAATTTTGACGAAAGAAAGAGACAATTATTTAAAGTTCTAGATACAAATGTAGTAACCAACAAAAGACGTTAAGTCTGAAAGCATTATATTAGTGAAAGTGAAGTTAGACTGCGTGATTGTTAGTTTAGCCATAATGGACGACATTTTAAAGTGAGCTTCACAGTTTAACAGAGATAAGAAGAATAAGTTGTCTTGTAAAAGGGTGTTCTAAAGTAATTGAACCCGTCTGTGTGGACTTTGATGAAAAGGGGAGAATTACTTAAAGTTCTGGATACAACTGTGGTAACCCACGGAGTAACGTAAGTGAATTTTTCACTGATACTATTCTGATAAAACTAGAGAAGAAAAAGTTCGTCTTGTCCATTGGATTCTAAAGTAACTGAACTAGCCAGTGTGTGGAATTTTGACAAGAAAAGCGAATTGTTTAAAGCTTTAGATACAACTGTGATAACCAATGTTGTACCGAGTTTGTTTATTTTTTGCACATCCTTTTGACTTGTTTTAAATATATCATTTTAAAATAAATGAATTGTGTGCTGTCCGTTTATTGTTCGAACGTATCACCATAGTATAAGAATCCCAGCCCATATACAAAACCTGATACCCTTTGTACAGCTCTGTGCTTAAAAACAACAAGCGATTTAGAAAACACTTGTTAACGTATAATAATATACTAAAACTAAAGGGAATTTTTCGAGAGTCAGTAATCAGCGTTAGACGTTTCGTTTTAAATTCGTACAGCGACATACCCCAAGCTAGAAAACAACGTTTCGCCAGAAAATGAGTTTCTGTACTGGCAAACACGTGGATCAACATTTGATACATATTGACCGCTTCCACGCACATCCAGGCCAGGGAGGTCAACAAAAAGTAATGAATTAAGATGGCTACGACGACACACACGTCCACACCGGCTACACCCATCCCTTGTTGAGATCCGACGAGGAAGGCAGTGTTCATCAAGAGCATGGATACACACAGGTGTAAGAGGATCTTACCAGAACGGTCACGGTTCAAACACCTGTAAACAGATTCAATATTAGTCCATGACGGATTACGTCACGCGTCGCTCTAGAGACAGCACAAACAGCTCTTTCATTGGTAGGCTAGTTTTCATTCATTAAGGATTTTTTACCTTGGTAAACATATAATAATTTAATAATTAAGTTTTATAAAGCTGAAAATATAACCTAAGTTTATTAATTTAACTTTTTTTTTTAAATCTAATATAGCATTTCAGTATGAACTGTTTTTATTTGTCGTTTTTCCCTTGGATCAAGCTTTAATAGCATGTAACATCAACATTCTGGTGTTTTACCTTGATCAGAATGGTGTTAATAACTATATTGTTAATGGAATTGTTCATAAAAGTTTGATCCAATCAAAACGTGCTTTATGATTATAGTTACCATTACCAAATATTTAAAAAAATGTTCATTTTCCTGGTGTGCTGCCTTGTGGTCATATTTCAAAGTACAATTTCTTTATTCAGCATACTAATATGTAATAAATATCTAACACACGTGTATTCTGTAGTAATAGAAGTAAGATGGATTAAATTAAAAAGTATGTTTTACTCCCACTAATTTTATTCTCAAATAACAACATTATGTCACTACACTGTACACTGTTGTTATACATGGTGATTCTCTGTAAAGTAACAACATTATGTCACTACACTGTACACTGTTGTTGTACATGGTGATTCTCTAGTGACATAATGTTGTTACTTTACAACAACAGTGTACAGTGTGACATAATGTTGTTACTTTACAGAGAATTACCATGTACAACAACAATGTACAGTGTAGTGACATATGTTGTTACTTTACAGAGAATCACCATGTATAACATCAGTGTACAGTGTAGTGACATAATGTTGTTACTTTACACAGAATCACTATGTACAACAACAGTGTACAGTGTAGTGACATAATGTTGTTACTTTACACAGAATCACCATGTATAACAACAGTGTACAGTGTAGTGACATAATGTTGTTACTTTACACAGAATCACTATGTACAACAACAGTGTACAGTGTAGTGACATAATGTTGTTACTTTACACAGAATCACTATGTACAACAACAGTGTACAGTGTAGTGACATAATGTTGTTATTTTACACAGAATCACTATGTACAACAACAGTGTACAGTGTAGTGAAATAATGTTGTTACTTTACACAGAATCACTATGTACAACAACAGTGTACAGTGTAGTGACATAATGTTGTTATTTTACACAGAATCACTATGTACAACAACAATGTACAGTGTAGTGACATATGTTGTTACTTTACAGAGAATTACCATGTATAACAACAGTGTACAGTGTAGTGACATATGTTGTTACTTTACAGAGAATTACCATGTATAACAACAGTGTACAGTGTAGTGACAAAATGTTGTTACTTTACACAGAATCATCATGTATAACATCAGTGTACAGTGTAGTGAGAATCACCATGTAAATCACATGTACAACAACAGTGTACAGTGTAGTGACATAATGTTGTTACTTTACACCTGTATTACCATGTATAACAACAGTGTACAGTGTAGTGACAAAATGTTGTTACTTTACACAGAATCATCATGTATAACATCAGTGTACAGTGTAGTGACATAATGTTGTTACTTTACAGAGAATTACCATGTATAACAACAGTGTACAGTGTAGTGACAAAATGTTGTTACTTTACACAGAATCATCATGTATAACATCAGTGTACAGTGTAGTGACATAATGTTGTTACTTTACAGAGAATCACCATGTTCAACAACAGTGTACAGTGTAGTGACATAATGTTGTTACTTTACAGAGAATCACCATGTT